AGTTTAACTTTTAGTCTCCTTATTATGGTTCATATAGAAACCCCAAAAGTTAAAGTCCTAAGAGCCAACCAGAAGAACACCAAGATACAGCATAACCATAAGTATGGACTATACGCAGATATGTACATGTTTGTTGCAGGCTTTTTCCCGGGCTCCCCGCTCCATGTGCTGCACGTTGTCGTGCATCATCGAGGAGACCGAATCTACCCGGCCCTGTGAAAACGAAAACAACGTGCGTGTGTCTTGGAGTTGGGGGTTCAGGGAATGTTTGTGGCTCCGGGGTGTTGAAGCTCACGACAAAGCTTAGGCCTTTCGAGCTTAGGAGTTTAAGCTGCTTAAGGCTTTAAGGCTGAGGATCGCGGGTTTTGAAGGCTTTGATGGCGTAGACCCTGAGTGTCCAGAGCCCGAAAACCCCAATGACACCATGACTGGTAAGAACCCCTTTTCAAGGCCCATCAACAGCCCCTGCGCTCTCCTGCCCACACCCTGGAATTTCTGAAATATGCGCAGCTATCGCAGACAAACCGCATGCATTCGAAAATCCTGCTTGGATGATGCTGCTTGCTTGGCCTGGCTCTGTCGAGTACATAGTCCGTGGCGTGTCAGTTTGCTTAGCTGGGTCGTTCGGTGTTGGTATGCGGGGCACCCAGCCACCCAATAGCTGGTTCAAGGCTTGTGGCTTGGAATTGGGATTGAATTCTGGCTCACTGCTTGAAACTACTAGATGACAGTTCGCATCGTGCAGTAAATGACACATACATACATCTTTACGTACGTACGTACGTACGTACATACAGACAGACGGACACACAGACAAGCAGACAGGCAGGCAGTCAGGCAGGCAGACGAGCATGCGTGCATCATGCATGTACGAATGCAAAAAGGTATGAAGGTAAGACTGTATGTATGAATGTACGCATGCATGCATGGATGCGAACGGACGTATGGATGCATCTGTCTACACACATCTACATAGACAGAAGTTGAAAAAAACATAAATCAGGCATGGAAATTCATACAAGTATACAAATATCACAGTGCATATGGCTCCTGACTAAAAAGCCTTTCTGTTGGCGGATTCAGTGGGCAAACTGAGGTTGCAAGGACTGCTTTCATCCACATGTCCAGGTGCCTGCAGAAAACAGGAATACCACCAAAAGCTGCTCCCTCAAGCCGCAAACCCTTAACCTGGCACGGGCCGATCCGGAAGCCCTGAATCCCACTGAGTGTCAGTCGGTGGCATGCATGAAGGCATGCTCCTGCAATCTTGAGCGATGGGCTGTCTTGAGTTGCTGCAGAACACCGTTGCAAACCGACACCAGCACTGTCTGCAAGAATTGGATGATATTTCTGGCTGATGTCTAGGAGCCCTGACCAGAACGTCAAACGCTGCGAGCCGCAGGGCTCTGCAAATGCAGGCTGGCGAAGATCATGGTGGTTTACTACCCTAAACTGAATAGGGGTGGTTGTCAAAATTAGGGTCTCTTTTTGGGTCCTTATTAATTATAATACGGCACCTATTATTTAGGGTACCCCAAAAGGGACCATAATTTTGACAACTACCCATAGGGAGCCCCAACCTGGCTCAAGGAGCAGGGTTCGAGGAATTGACCTGGGATGCAGTAGGGACCTGGACCCATTCGGGCCGGTTGGGGAGGAGGCTGTGGGAGGCCTCCCCGTTCTCTAGCGTTTTAAGGTGATTTAGGCTTCGGGCTTAGGGTTTTGGTTTTTTGGGGTTCCCAGGGTTCTGATCATCAATTCCGTGCCGAAGCCGACTACCCTAGAGTCATCGCCCTACAGATCAGGCTTCGGGGCCAAAGCTCTGTTCAAGAAATCGGGGAAACTCCCAGTTTTCATGGAACTCTGTGACCCGGGGCTTAGAACTCACCACATTCACCAGCTCCTCCATGCTGTGCATGCTGCTCAAGGTCTTGAGATTTGCCTGGTGCTTGGCTGTGTTGCCGCATAAAGGCTTAGAGTTTAGGACTGGGTGTAGGGTTGGGGGAGCCTTTCTTGGCCGGAGTCTTGACAAATCGCGAACGCAACCCAAGGCTGTAGAGGGTCCATCTGACTGTTGCTGTGGCTGGGAGGACACAATAGACTACTAATCAGCTTGCAAAGCGAGATTATCGGAGTTATGTTGGATTGTCCAAGTTTTTGGCGAACCTTAGCTTTACGAGATTTAGGCTCTTGGCTTGCGTTGGGTTTAGGGGTCTAGGGTTCAGGGCCTTTAGGACCTGTTTTGCAGAGTCTTGGAGTCTAAGTTAGAGCAGTCTCCGGATGCCCTCGGCATTCCTCATGCTGCTTTGGAAAGATCAGTGGCCTTCGCGAAACTACAAAAGGAGACCCCAACACTGCATACTCGTGGTGAGCTTCTGCCTCGCGACAGTCCTGCCTTCTGAGACGCAAACTAGGCAATTCAAAGTGTGGATAAGCAGTATGGGACACACTTGATTTAGCACTGGGGGGCCTGAGCAATACCATCCCACTACATCATTAACGTCCAGCCTTAGGAACGGGGCCCCGAAAATACTGCATAACCCTTAAACCGCAATCCCCAAAACTTCTAAAACTCTTGAACCCTGAAGTCCTAAACCTGTAAACCGTTTAAACCCGTAGATCCTACATCACTAAATCCTCAAGCTCCAGGGCCACCGCAGTCTTTGGAACCCCGAGCATCTTTCGTAGCTCCGACTGCAGCCGTGTGTGAAGGTGTCGGGTTTAGGGTTTGGTAAAGTTTAGGGTTTCGGGTCGAAGGTGTAGAGTTCGGGGTTTAGGGTTTCGGGTTTAAGCTGGAGGGTGCAGGGCTCGATACAGGGCTTCATAACAGGGTTTAGGGTTTAGGGTTTAGGCCTCAGGGTATTGGGATAAGGAGAAATGTGCGTTAACCTACAACTATAGTCGTTCGGTCATACATGTTCCAGAAGGTCGTCCTTGATAAGTCAACACCCTTTCCTTCAGAGTTTAGGGTTTATAGGGTTTATAGGGTTTATAGGGGTTTAGGGTTTATAGGGTTTATAGGGTTTAGGGTTTAGGGGTTTAGGGGTTTAGGGTTTAGGGTCCTCAGTGTTCTGATCCCTGCTGTAGTCCCTACGAAGGGAGGGGGGTCTCTAGTCATGGCTTTACATTAGAAGGAACCTTCGTTGGCCTCCCACATTTTTTGGTGATATCCTCCACAAATTATATATATATATACATATAGAAATATACGTATATATATATATATATATATATATTCCTCAAACTACGCATTCCATGAGTTCTAGCCCTTGGGTTCAATTAGGCTTTAGGAGGGCTTTGGGGAAGTTGTGCTGAGGGGCATTGAAGGACTGGTCTAGGAGTTTCCCACGACTAGCTGCACATCCGGTGTTCCTTCAGGGGAAATGGGGATTTGGGGTTTGAAGGTCAAGGTGTCTCGCGGCTCGAGGTAGTTTTCTGCTTGTTGCCATTGCTAGCCCCCGTGCTCCACACCGGTGTGGTCGCGACTTCTCGTGCACTGCGGCCTGTACGCGGGACCTGAGGGCGGCCTCAGATACGTTCCAGCTGGTCTGGGCACCCGCTGCTGGTGGACGTGTTCACTGGAGCGATTCTTACCTACAGTTTTTCGGCCACTTCCCGTGGCCTTGCCGACCTACGTGACTTTCCAGCTGCCTGTGCCTGCGGCCTGTCAGTCAGCTCCTTTTTTTTGCCCCTGGCTTGTCAGCTGTTTTCGCCTCTAGCCTTGCAAGTCGACGACCGGGCTCAGCGCTGGCGTCGTTTTTGGAGAACACCGGCACTGATCCTCGTTTGCTGTGGCCTTTTCCCGTCGCTTTCCTTGACGTTCTGCTCTGGCTCACTTAGTGGCTGTGCTACGTCTCACCCGCGAGGAGCACTCGCTTCTAGCGAAGGCATGCTCTACTGCAGTGTTTGGTGAGGAAGTCGAGCCTTTGTCGCTCGCGCTTCGGCTCGCAGGGTAGCACGGCCTCTGGCTCTAAGCCTCACTTCTCGGGTGTGTTCGCATAGTGTTGGCATGTCCCTTGCTAAGGTGCTTCAGTGCACTTCAGTGCCGCCGGTGTCGTAGCCGGGGCCTCGCTCTGAGAGCCCCAGCTACCGGTTTGGTCTCACGTCGGTTTCACTTTTTTTTGTCTGAACCGGCATGTCTAGTCTGCCGTTTCGGCCGCCGCAGTCACAGCGACTGCCGCTTTTCGGCCTTCTTTTGCTTTGATCGCGCGGGGTCGTCCCCTAGGCGAGTGAGTGAGTTTGAGGGTCAAAGGCATCCTGGCGGTGTAGGCAGAGTAAGGGCTTCAGGGTTGTAACTGGGGCACAAGTGGTTTAGGGATTAAGGGTCAAAGGGGTTTGGGGAACTTGCCCATGGTTGGCCTGAGTTTAGGAGTCCGAAGCTTCGTCTTGAACTTGGCTGCTCTAGGAATCCTTTTCTTACTATTCTAGTAACAGGACTTTAGAACCAGGACCATGATGCTGACACTGCTACATCCCTACGTCACTACGGCATACTATGAGGCAGTGGCTGGGCTCGACATCACGTGTCGCTGCGAAATGCTTATGGGAAGGTTCCGCTCATTGCGAAGCAAAGTGGCACGTATGGCAGGGTTGATTCGAGCGCAGAGTCTAGAATCTTGTCTAGACTACCGTCCTAGAGTCTAGAGTTTAGAGTCCAGAGTCTAGTCTAGTAAGTCTACTGTGTGTTGCCACTCGTGGTAAGAGGATGCTAAGCCTACTCTCTTGGCAAGATGTTGGGTTCTCTTATCATACATGCTAGACTGCTAGACCCTAGCCCGAGTCATGATCCTGACAACCCTAATCCCAACCTCCGAAACCCTAAAACCCTGACATCTCAAGCGTGGCGTGGGTGTCCTCTCTCTAGTGTGGCGTTCTGCTGCGGTTGACTTGGGGGCCTTCCTATGCATAAGATAAGTTGTCGGTGCATCGTTCAGTTCTAGTGGAACCACTGTACAATCCAGGCATCTATTGTTCTTACTTCCCCAATAAGCCACGAAAATAAAAGGTTAAACTTTCAGATTACAACTACATGATAAGAGCCCAACAAGTTTAAAGGTTGGGTATTGGGGAACTAAGTGTTACAAATCTTGATTGTTCAGACCTCGGCTCTACATTGCGGCATCCCGAGTTTCGCTCTCGGCCCTCAAGATCGCAGGTTTCGAGGCTGCGTGGTGCCTCGACGTACATCAGCCGCCGCCGGAGTGTCTTGTGCTCGGAGCTGGTGGTGGCCCTGAATTACACACTTGCAAAGACGAAGCTGCTAGGTTTTATTTAGTTTGGGAAGCAGTCGCATGATGCCCTAGACTCTATACCCGTTGAACCTCCGTCTAAATCCGCAGCTCTCTAGATCTGCGCTTGAGTCCGAAGAGCTTCAGCATCTCCACGTCGAGAGCGCCAGCTGGCGTGTCCATGCGTAGGTCAATCACCTGCCAGCACGAACCCAAGGTGTACCTGGTTGAGGGCTGCTTACATGAAGAATCGTACTTCCAGGGTTCATATCAGTATCAGGGTCCCGCAGTTTCTGCACGAGTCTGGAACTCCCAAGGTCTTTCAGACTCTGTCCAAACTCTCTACGCCTGGCGTGTCATCATTGGTTGCAAACAGACCCCCAGAAACAAGGACATCATGGGATCTTTTCCTTAATCCCCGCACCCATGTGAGGCGAAACGGCCGAAAGATCGGCACCTGCTCCACAAACTCATCGAAAGACAAGCCGTCCTGGCGATTCGCTGATTTCTGTGCGGTTGCTGCATGGGGCAGGTGCCCTGCTACTGTGGGGGCCTTGATAGGTATATTATACACCAAAATTGTATTGTGATTCTTTCGGCCCCTATATTTCTATTAGTGGCGACCGTCCCAAAACTCAGAGCTGAAACCAGGCCGGGGGCGCGTTTGATTCTTTCTCTTCCGCCTCCCCCTGAGCAGCACGGCACGTTGCTTCGTCAAGGCCCTACAGGCTAAGGTACCCCGGTACCCTCTTCTTTTCGGAACGTCCCAAACGTGGGTGCTAGGATTCGGGGGACCCTTGGGGATATAGACCCTCTCAATAAGGTCCCGTTTAAGAGAGCCAAAAGTAGGGTTCAGAAGAAACCCTAAACCCTAAACCCTAAACCCTGAACCCTAAACCCTAAACCCTAAACCCTGAACCCTAAACCCTCAACCCTAAACCCCAATAATACTACCTAAAACGGCTCTAAGCGCCCCGGCATCCTGGTCTTGCCCTCCAGGGCCGGTCCGTCGCCCGAAAAGGCTCTCCTGCATCTGCCGGAGCCGCTCCTGCTCATAACATGTAGTGGTTTAGGGTTTAGGGGTTTAGGGTTTAGGGTTGAGGGTTTAGGGTTGAGGGTTTAGGGTTTCGGGGGAGGAGGCCTCCTCTCTGGACAAATTTCGGCTTTTGACTTTGAATAAACGGGGGGCTTTGGAGCTGTTGGTTGCGGCTTTCGGTTTTGGGAATCCCAGGTTGTTGCGGAGCTTTCAGGGTTTTGGGGCTTCAGGGTCCCGCCAAACCGCAAAACGGGATCTTGGGTTTCGGGTCTTTTAAAGCCCTCAAGCCTGGGAAAAAGCAGGCTTTCTGCCTTCCAGGAATTCGGGCTACAGTTTCGGCTTGTGCTTGTGGGGGAAGCCAAAATGGTGTGTCTTAAGACTCTTTGGCCCCTCCCTTTTGGGCAGACTGTTCGGCTCGGGGGTGATCGCCCTTGAAGTGAAGCGCTAATTTCGCGCTTCGGGGTCAAGCCTTCAGGCTGGCGTGCCCGGGAGACATCCCAATGTGACTACGCTCTATTCCTGCCCCATCAGACACACGCGCCTTCTCTGCCTTCATGCACCCTGATTACATCCTAAAACAAACTTGCCGCAATCTGAAAGCATCGGCACCTTGCTTCGGGAAAAAGGACGACGAGGAATGTTCTTGACTTAATGGCTCAGAAATCTTAAGCTCGGGTTTACCAGCCTGGGCTTCGCTTTCGAAAGGGGTGTATGAGATGAGCCGGTTCCGGGGCTCCGAAGCCACTGAGTTCAAGTTCCGCTTGTCATTGCGGGTGCATCAGGCCGGCGTAAGGGGTGTGCCTCTAGCCCGCCTCTATTTGCATGCCACTTACACACCAAAAACCACGGGACCCTGTGCAAGGCAGGCTTTGGCTGACAAGGTTGGCGTTCAGGACTTCACGATGAGAAGGAGCACACTCAGAGTCGGGCTTCCCAGGTCTGCAAAGACAGAACTCCCCCCGCGCAAGAGAGCCCATCGTCGGCCTCCATCATGCTCTCTTCGACCCCGAGCCTCAGTTAGCATACTGCTTTATAACATGACACCCATGCGTCATGGGCCTGCTGGTTCAGGGTTTTTTCTTTCGTTTTCACAAGAATGCAGGGCAGAAAACAGGCACAATACGAAGAGCCTGCAAACCGTCTTAAGCTGTCGTTACGAAGAGCCTGCATCCCAGGAAGATCGCCATGAGGCCAGGGCCTTGACTTTTTTGGGGGGTGTTAAGGACGAGCAAGGAGGACTGAGGACCTGACACTATAGACCCCAAACCCAGAAACCATGATGACGACGAAGTCCCGAATCCTAGGTTCCTGAACCCTAGACACATAAGTCAAGCCGTGTTACACAAGCCTACATAAGAAAAAACGTACAACAACACGTGGTTAAACCACAACTCTAATCTAGGCGCCTCAACAAGCCTGAACAAGGACTTTAAGGGACAGCCAGGCCCCCATACTACTTATTACTTACTTCTCAAGGCCCTGATCATCCGGCTAAGGTCGGAGCTTCAGCAGCGCCGCTTGGACACGCTTGTTCGTAGCGATCTTCGCCCACTCGTCCTTGCTGCAAGTACCGAAGGCCCGACTGCAGGGATGTTGGGTTTGGGACTTCGATCATTCGGGCTTCGGGATGGAAGGGTTTTTGGGGCGTGGGATCTGGGGACACGCCCTGGCTTTCAGAGGCGCTGCAGGTTTCAAAGCCGAAAGATCCTGAACCCCCCCCCCCCCCCCAGGGTTGGAGGCCCAAGGAGCCTCTGGCTGTTGCATGCCGAGTAGAGCATAGTGTGCCCGCCCATCGCGGAGTAAACGTGTATACTCTCTCTCTCTCTCTCTCTNNGTATGTAAGCATGTAAGCATGTAAGCATGAAAGCATGTACATATGTATGCATGTGTGTACATACATATATATATATATATATAGATAGTATACAGGTTAGGCAAATACTATATGGCTGCCGTTTCATTTCGCTGCATAATTCCGAATGCTTGAAGGAGCGATCACACAACTGTGGATTGGTATACTGTAGCACTGCAGGATGTTCGTGGCATAATCTATCGAGACACCACAGTAATGGGAACGGTGCACCGGCCTACTAGAAAAGCTGAAAAGCTCGAAGATGGAAACCCTGAACTCTAAACCCCCACGACCCTACGCTCCGAATCTAAAGCCCAAACTCGTCATTTCCAAGAACAGAAACCCTAGACCCAGTGAAGCTTCTCAAGAAGTAACGTAACATGCACAAAAACCAGACAGGAAAGCCCTGAACCCACAGCCTTATAGATAAAAAAAAGAAGAGGGCCTTAATAATTACCTATACTATTGTGGGGGCTCCTTATGATAATTATAGTATAATGGGCCCAAAACCCATAACCAGGCCTCCGAGATGGTCCCATCGTTGGACTCGTCCAGGGCGGTGAAGGCCTCCACGAGACATACCTGGTCGTCCAAGGGTGATGGTAAAGGTAATACAAACGATGGCAATACATATGATAAATAATAAGAGCAAACGTAAGAAGTACAAGTTCAAAGTATTTCTAAAATAGCAATGAAAATAATGATAGCAGACTTGTTGGGTTTGATGGGATTTCAGAACGTTTCAGAGTGTGTGTTCTAAGGCAGATTCTAGGGTGATACAAGGGTTCTGCACGGAGGATCCTCTGTGGCTTCCAAGCTGGAGCGACTAGGGCGGGTTGTGTAGAGCAGAGCGGAGACACCGACCTCAACTTTGACAGCTGCGCATGGAGTCGTAGGCTTCAGGCGTTCAGGGTTGCGGGTTGAATGCGCATGGTTACTGCTTAGGCTCAGAAACCCTGAATCCTCACTCCTAACCGCTTACCTATCACCGGCTAACTCCAAACTCCATTCACGCGCCACCACCCCTCGAGACCCGACTTGTTTTGGTTCGATTGCTCGGATGGTTGTTTAAGGTTGCTAAGCTCCACCACGCCAAACCCGGCGCATGAATTCTCACTCGCCACAAGTGAGAGCTTCTAAAGGAGTGCTACAATTTCTCAAGGGACGGACGCATACATGCTGGATTTGGGCTTCAAGCCGAAATCCCAAACAACAACACTGGACAGAACCCCAAGCCCTTGAACCTATCTCCTTGAACTCCTAACAACTCTTCAAACCACGCGCAAAGCCGCAAGCCCTGCAGCAAAAGCTTTAAGCCTTGAAGCCTTACATTTTGGGCGCGCCTTCAGCTCGTTGAGTTGCCGCCTTGGGGGGAGCCCAACTTTCTAAAAAACCTCCAGTAGCCGGATTGAAAATGGGTAGTTCTCTAAATTAGGATCCCCTTTAGGGTCCCCAATCTAGCACGGCTCCCCTATAAAAAGGACCCCAAAAGGGACCTTCATGTAAAGAACTACCCAAATAGTTACCCAAGAGAAGTATATGCCCCTAAGTCACAGCGCGCGGACGGTTTCATGGTGCAGTGTGGAGGGCTAGTTCTTGCGGCATACAGAGACTGCTTCTGGCGCCAGCAGGTGTTGAAGCGGCAAACACTGAGAGGCAATGTGATGTAGGATCAGGATTCTATATAAGGATTACTTGGGAAATTGAAGGATTCGGGATCCTTCTCTCTGAGCGCTGCAGCCATGCACCTAAATGACCTCCCACAGGAGCTTGCCTGAAACAAAGTGTTGATTTCCCAGCTGTAACCGTAACCCAAAATACATTGAGTCGAGTCTCTGCGAGCCCTATACCACCACAATCCCTGAACCCCAAAACCTAAACCTCTACATCCTAACAGCTGGACAGTAAAACATAGAAACCAAATCGGAACGGCGATTGCGCCAACTGATTTGGGAGCCTCAGTACTTAAAGCTAACTTGATAACCCTGGTGAATACTTACTACTAAATATGCATTTTACCACAACTATAAGAGGCAAACCTCAAGCAATACTATGGCTAAACTGCAGACGTCTAGAATAAGGGGTTCAATGTCCGAGGCTAGAACATCTCCGCCTCCTCTCTTGAGCTGTCCTCGATCACTTGGCACAACACACCTGGCAACAAACCGGCGAAAGTGCTCCCACTGCAACCCTTAACCCCAATCCCTCACCTCTAAAGCCCCAAGCCCGAAAGCCATAGACATACATCCATGCATGCATGCATACATGTTTGTATGTATCTGCGCTGAAGCCCTCATCATCGCCAGTCCTACATCTCTAGGCTTAAACCGAAACACCGAATCTTGAAACCCCAGAGCGATAAGCCCCAAACCCTGGGCCCGGAGTTCCTGAACCTTAGATCTTGTATAGACGGTTGAGGGCACGGACGCCAAGTCGGGGCTCCCCTTTCTATCATCAAAGTGGGAGAGGCATATTGCAAACCTATACGACTGTGTACAAACAAGCATTGCAGACGATCACCATCATAAACAGACATGATTCATATTCTTCGTATGAATGTATGTGCGCATATGGGTATATACATATATGTATATATATATATATAGAGAGAGAGAGAGAGGACTGTGTGTATATATATATATACACACACATACACCCGCACTTCCATGTTTGCTATATCTCGCTGTCTCTACTCTTCGACCTTCTGAGAGCCTTCAGCAGACCTTCGGCATGGATCTGAGTGCTGGAGATTCGCGAGAATCTTCTCAAATTGGAAATGAGTGGGTGTTAATACTGCGTCAGTGCAGAATTCGGAGAAAGGAGTGGGGAAACCATGCAGGAGCAACCGATCAGCATGTTGAGCAGCGTCATGCCCGAGATCACCATGAACCTCGAGGAAAGCGTTGCCGGAAAGGACTGCAAATGACTGCAAACAGATCGGCAGAAGCTGTGAATGTGTTGATATTTCTGAGGTACGCTTCACTCTACGTAGCAGATTTGCACATCCCTCTCAGAGACCTCTCGTTTGTTTCGGGGGTCCTGTCCGAAGCTTCAAATCCCAGAAGCTGGCATGCGTACGAAACCTGGAGCCCTCAGCTCTGAATGACGCAAAACCCTCGGCCCGGAGCCCTGAAAATCAGAGCTCGAACATCTCCGTCCACAATCCCGAGCTTCCGCTTCCCCGAGGGTCGAACACCATGAATGCCCACATCATGAGCAGGTCTTCCTCGTGGCCGTTTGCAGTCTAGGAAAGCATATCAGACTACTGTATAACTGTATAATATACTGGAATATAATATAACGTGTTACAATACAACACAATACACTACAATACCATACAACATAGTACAATAGCACTTTCTCGAAGAGGAGTCAGCTCGGCTTAAGATTCAGAATACGGCTTCTCGGGCCGGGAAAGCGGATCCTTCCACAACGTTCGAAGCCCAGACGCCATGGCCCTGTTCCTGGACCCCCATGGGACTTTCCAAAAATAGGGGGTACCTTATTTCGGGGTCCTTATAATAAGGATCCTATTATTTAGGGCACTATATTAGGGTCCCTATTTTCGGAAACCCCCACATGAATCCCACCGACTTAGGCTTCCATGGGTCTCGGGCCTTTTCCTCGGTCCTACATGGGTGGTTGTCAAAATTATGGTCCCATTTTGGGTCCTTATTATAATACGGCACCTATGATTTAGGGTAGCCACAAAGGGACCCTAATTTTGACAACTACCCACATCTTCCTCCCAGGGAGAGCTTCCCTACTGGAGTCATCACCTTCTTGAACTCCCCGATCAATCCTGGATACCTCCAAGAGAAGTTGCAGAAGTTTCCGTACTCCAATATTAACCCCAGTAGTGTAAAGGTCTCTAACCTTAGTAAGGTATAACCCTAATGTCCAGAAACCCTCGTCTGGCATGTGGGATTTCAAGCGGTCCGTCTGGATCTCACCCAAAATGTACGTCAAGTTGTCCGCCAGAACCCCATAGAGGAAAAGCGTCATCATGGATGTGCCTTGCCAACTTCAAGGTTTGGTACGCTTGGGTTCAACACGGAAACTACGTGCTTATTGCCATTACTGGTAGAGGACTGTTGTGGCTATGGGCAGCGAAGGCCCAAAACCTTAGACCACACTAGACTGGTGCAGCTCTATTCGAAACGCATAATAAGGTGGTTCTGGTTAGAGATGTTCCTGCCAACGAATTTGGGTCCAAGGTTCAGGCGCAGGGTCCGCTTGACGGTGGGTTGTTGGGTTCTGGTCCCTGAAGCCCTTCTCCCCAACCGGTAGCCCCGAACCCCTTCGTGAAAGGGCGACGAAAACTGGAGCAGAGGGGATCGTCTGAACCGCTAGCAACTTTCAGCTCCACAGAACCTTCCCCACCCGGAAGTAGAAGATCCTTTCAAACTTTCAAAGTCATAGAAATATGGTCGCCCAAGCAATATGACCGCTAGGGCGACTCCAGCCGAACCCAAGGCGAATCCCATATATATATATATATATACCCTTACAGTCGACCCTTTCTAACCCTGTTTCAAGCAATTGATATCGATGTTGTGAGTTGCGAAGCTTCCGATCTCATCTTTGCTGGACCGAAGGGCAAACCACTGCGTGAAACCTGGACAGCTTAAGCAGAGGAAGCCCTCAACTGGGTGGTTGTCAAAATTATGGTCCCTTTTTGGGTCCTTATTATAATACGGCACCTATTATTTAGGGTACCCCAAAAGGGACCATAATTTTGACAACTACCCAACTGATGATGAGCTCTTTGACGAAGACCTCTTGCAATGTGCACTCACAAGCCTATACTGAACTTAGACCCCTAGCAAAAATTATAATTTTAGCTGCTTCTTAGGGTTTATAGTAACCAAAGATTAAAAATTATTTCTAAGTGCCCCTAAGAAGCTTCAACACAACCGGACCGCACCCTGGGACCCCAGACGTTCCATGCAGCAACAGAGATCCGTGTCTGGACAGTGCCATGCCATCTTGAGTCTTGATCCGGTTTAGGGTTTAGGGTGAACCCGAATTGAATGCCGGTGACAGCTCTCAGTAACGGTTGACCGACACGCATCTCCCTGAAGAGCAAGCGCTCCCCGAAGCCCCCGACATTGGAAAGATTGCTAACACACACACACACACACACACACACACACACACACACGCACAGACAGACCATGAAACCCCAAACTCCTAAGCCTTAACTGCCTTAACCCTCGAATGAGTCCGAGATCACCACCTAAGTCTGGGAAAAGCTGTGGCAGCGTCGAGTTCCCATCCTGGCCGAAGCTGGATTTCAAAAAACACGGGCTTAAGAAAGGCAAACAAATACATAGATTGCTAAAATATGTCACGATACAAACGCGAAGTCATTCAAAGGTATGATGTAGGTGTAGAGTCTAGGTTCTTCGAACTGGAGAGTCACGCTCTCTGTGATCTTGAGCTACGCGTATGCCTAAGGCATCCACGAGCAACTGCAACCCCAACCGCTATAGTGCCCAAATCATGCTCTCAGACTCGTTCGTGATTGGAGCCTAAGCCATGAAAATCGCTTCAATGCCAAAGCCACCAAGGGCAGACAGAACACAAGCCTTGGAAACCAAAGTTTCGGAGAGTGGTTCTGTCTTGAGGCCCTTCTCTCTTCAACACAGCTTGGGAGAATCGGGTATGCTTGGACATCTTGGCTCAGATGCTCTGTTGTATTTGTGTTCCTGCGATGTCGGTCTCCGCCAGCCCACGAGATAGATAAGCGATGCTTACAAAGGGATTCACACTCATCACAAACACATCCGTCCTAGCCTAGCACTGCCCGAGCATGATGCGCACAAAACGCTGTAAAGCTATCCTGCAACATCCCACATCCTGCAGATATCCTCAAAATAAATATTTTGCAATGGAGACACTACCGTAGGGGATCTGGGTTTCTGACTCTATGTAACTGTGCATGACTGAACCTGCTACAACCCTTGACGGTTGGCAGCCTTTGGGAAGAAGCCGATGGTGCCGAATCGGGTGGTGAACCTCATAGATGTGGAGGAGCGAGGCGTAAAAACCCCGGTTCCGCAAGAGAAGGGTGGCGGTGCCGACTAAATCCACCGATCCACAACCCTGAACCCCAACCCCCTTATACACTTAAACTTTCTGGGCTCAGGGCTCAGGGTTTTAGAAGTCTAGAAGTTCAAAATTTTAGGGTTGAAGGAGTTAGGAGCCTGGGTTTCAGAGTGCCTGCCTACCTGGTCTGTAACAGGCAGGCCGCCAGCGAAAAATGAACTCTCCTCACCAAAGGAGACGGTTCCAAGCAATTGACCGTGTCCGAGTTTCGCTGCCACTGACACAAGCCTGAAAGCTCCGGGAGGGGCTACGGAACCGGATGCACCTAACTAGACATCAAGCCTTCAGCATTTAGGACAAAGCTGTTCGGGTTGAGGGCTTCATGCCCCAATCCCCAAACTCGAAAACAAGGTCACTTTCGAGGCCCCCGGCACGATCGCAAAGACATAAGTCACGACGACCATGAAGAGGAGGATGAAGACGACGGACTGCATGGCCCGAACCATACCCCTGCCAGGTGCACTTACCATGAGCGACTCTCACTCACGTTGATTTCGGCTTGGGGGCTGGGGCGCAAAATACCTTCGATCGGTCTACCGTGGTCTACTTGGGTCCACTGTTCTAGGCCTCGGTGCGGCAGTGCACGCAAACATGTCTTTCACGGGAAGTCGTCAGCACAAAATGTTGGAGCCTGCATGCGGCTCTACAGCTCCCTCACTGCACATGAGACCCCTAAACCCTAAACCCCCAAACCCGAACATAGTGCTGACCCCAATGGCCAGCTCTCAGTCTTCCTCAGGCAGGTTTGCGGATTGAATCCCGAGAAAACCATGGCGAAGCCCCGACCATTGGGAAGCCAGCAAATCTGCACTTACTGTATTATACTATATTATACTAATATTATATACTAAATTTTACTATATTACGCTAACTCTGCACTGGAAAACCGAGTCCAAGGACAACGAGACTTAGCCTTCCAAGTCGAAGAGCAGAGCCCGAATCCTAAATCCTACCTATAGACTCCATTGTAGTTCCTTTTTGGGGTTACCCTTTAGGATCCTTAATATATAGAATTGGTTAAACCAAAAAAAGGAACTACAATGGAGACTACAGGTAAACCCCAGAATGACCTCCCAAACCCACGCCGCTGCCGATCCTCGCGATCTCTGAGCCCCCGGCTTCACCAGCGTCATCAGCTCTGGGAAAAAGCCTCAGACCAGCGTACCTAGACATACTATACACATGCAACCGCATAACGTGTATACATATGTATATATATATATATACAGATTTATTTATTTATCTATATATATATATATACACACATTCAAACAGAGACAAAAATTGATGCTAGGTGCATGTTCATATGTACGTGTATTTATATATATATATACAACAATATATGTATACATAAATAAGTATGTATCTGTGTATACATATATGACATATATTTATACGATGCCAACTGTCATCTCCGAACTTACTGCAACAGCTTGGACCGATTTCGTGGCAAACATACCAAGTCAAAGAAATATGTCCCAGGGCCTACAACCCCACGCCCTGGTGCTGAGCAGACTGCGCATCAATCGAGCCATGCGCGTGAGGCGCAGCAGGCGGAGTAGCCTTGACGCGAGTCTTACAGTAGAGCATTGCAGAAACTTAAGTCATCGAAAAAGAATATGATAAAGCTTATTCTCAATGACAGCCTAACACATCAGACTGGGGTCTTGAAGCATTTAATTGCGAACCACGTCTTGAAGTTTGCAGTGGGAACTCGAGCACTCTGCTTTTTTTGGAAAGAGCTGGCATGAGAATGTCAAGCCCAAGTCGCAACGTAATTTTGCCTTTGCAGGCAAGGCAGGACTCTGGAAACCATCTCAAGCACGAACTCACTCAGTATACTCAGTCTTGCAGAGCTCGCAGTCGCCTACGTCTTCTCTGCTGCGGCTAGCCGCGCTGCTTATATAGCCGATCAGAAGATTGAAATCCCCAAACCCCGAAATCTGGAGTGCCAGACCAAATCGCCCAAATCGAAACCCGGGGGGTCCTAAACTGTCTTCCCTCTTTCAAGCGCGGCCTGAGGCTGCTGAAGTTGTTGAGTATACCAGCGCCGCCTCCGGTTCCACCTGTTTGAAAAAGATGTCAGGTCTTCGGAGTTTAGGCTTAGACGGTCAATGCTACTGACTCTGTGAGCACGTTTTTTCACTTTTCTGTGTGTGCTCCTCGATGGCCGGGGCTTCCCTCCTAGATGAACGTGGGGCCACCTGGAAACACCTGTGCCCAATGTCAGGCATGTTGAAGTGGGGTTGAGGGTTTAAGGCTTGTCTGTGTTCTTATGGGTTTACGGCTTCAGGACGTACTCTCGGAAATGGCGGGACGACTGCGGGATTTCCATTAAGAAGAAATCAGACGGAAGGCGCTGACGCTCTCAAGCCACAACCCCGAAACCTGGAATCCTCCTCAACAGGACCCCTAATAAAGACCTGAAGTACTAGGATCCTTATACTCGGGAGTATGACTATGACAATGAACCCCTCCCTCCCGCCTGAGGCAAGATCGATGAGAGAGATGACCCAGGTCTCCAACCTTATGCGGTCGATTGCAGCGCGGGGTCCAAGGAAGATTCATTGATAAGTTGGCACAGTATAGCGGCCTTAGCAATTAGAAATAAGTTTTTGGCATAAGACCTGAATAACAAAGATATTCAGGAACCCGAAGTGAAGTTATTCAGTTATTCATGCCCCTTTATTTATTAGCTTTCGGCACTGGGAGAAGATTCGGCATTGATACTTAATTTGATCATCTCAGGGCATTTTCGAATATAGCTAGGGCAGCTAGGGAGTAGAAGAGAACCAAACTGCTGATCAGACCCTAGAGTACGCCACCCACGCCCGCCAAAAAGCATCTGAAAGTTCCACAACCTGCGCGCTTCCAATTGCCGTGTAGCAGGCGATAGCATGCCCTCAATCATCAGACTGAGCATGTCTGGCCACAAACAGCTGAACTCAATCTAGCGGTTTTGCCAAAGGCTCTGCGGCTAGGGCAGGGCAACACACATCTCTGCAGAACCAACGCCTTGGAGCGACTGTCGACGTCCGAACCAACCTCCAACAGCGAAAGTAAAACTCAACCCCAACCGCCCTGACCCCCAACCCCGTTAAAACGTAAAGCCTATCACCCTGCGGCCCTAAGCCCCTAAGACAACCCCAAACCCCTAACCCTCTTCTCCCCAACAGCCAGGTGTGTTACACCATGAAGATGACCAGGGTCAAGTCGAACAGGAACCTGTCGTGGTTTTCGAGATGAGCGGTTTGAGGGTTCAAGGTCTGATCTCGGGGGCTCCGATGACGAGACTAGGGTTTTTGGGTACAGCACTGTATGATTCCATAAGCACCATTCCTATTTTCTCCGAGACTCGGAGAAGAGCAAGACTTGCAATGGGTTCAAGGTTGACGTACTTTAGCACCCAAGACTCCTACAGAAGTGCCCCTTCTTGGGATTCAGAGTTGGGGGTGGTTTAGCATCCAGGGTTTAGGGTTCAAGGCTTCCCAACTGACTGCAACACAATTGGCCCGTCGCCTGATTCTTGGGTAGTTAAGTTGTGTGGTTAGGATCAACAATCGCCTTCGGGTTAGGCTCAGGTTTGGTATTGCAAGGCATTCATCGATGCCTTGCAAACTGCACCTGCAGATGTGATCCCAGGCCACTAAACCCACCTGAACTAAGCGCCGCCAGCCATGGATGCCGTAGACGTACAAGGCCCAAAACAATGAAACACACACCCCGCCCCGCGAGGACCGGAAATCCTGCACCCTAAACTTTCTAAACCCCTTGCCTCGCAACCCCTCACAGCTACACCTCTAAATCCAAGTCCCTCAACCCAAAACCCGATGGTCCAAGTTCGCGCCCCGACATCAGTCAAAGTTCCACAACATCTTTGGTTCCTAGTTTTTGAAGCTTCTTTCGATGCGCTTGGGTTCAAACTGGGTATCACTCAGTATTGCTGCTGGCTCTTTGGCTTCTCTTTCAGTTTTTGATCTTTCGGGTTTAGGGTGTTTTGTGTTCAAGCCAACGGCTCTGGCATTCTATGGCGAATTCAAAAGCCACGTAACCACCTTGACTTGACTTCGTGGATTGAAACCTTCCTGTTCTCAAACACACCGGCACCGACGACTGAGCTGATGCTTGCAGCTGTAGTCCCTGCCAATTTCACCTGGATGTCCCTACACCCAAATCCTAAACTCCAAAACCACAGTTTCAAGCGGTGTCCGGGCAAGCCAAGCATCCACCATACAGTATCGGTAGGTGCGGAAAGCGCAGAAGCGGATCAGCACCTGCAAGGGGTGAGGGTTCATTACCCCCACAATTAGAAACAGGGTTTGGGGGAGAGCAGAAAGGAATTTACCCACTGTTAGGTTATCCTAACCCTAAACCCTAAGCCCTAAACTCTAAACCCTAAACCCTAAACCTCCCTAAGCCGCAACGGATAGCCCGAGAAGGGCTTCCCACTTGACTAGGCCATGTCTGGCTGGAGTGCAGGCACGATCGACTTGGGCCACGCTTTAGGGAAGACCCCAAGTATTTCCTACGCTAACCTAGACCCTCCATCTACCCGCTATCAGCCCCTAGATCCCCATGATTTGGGAGCATATACCCCTGTTTGAGGGCACAAGGAGGGTCCTGGAACATCCTTCTATCAGCGAGATGTTCTCTTTCAGCGGTAGCGAGATGGTCCCAGGCCCACGCACTCAAGCAGTATGGCTTCGGGGTACTTAGACTTAGAAAATACTTCATCAGCCAATGAGCATGGCAGCATGTCTGTGCAAGAAGCGAAGGAAGCAGAATGGGAATCAGGATCGAGTCCTCCAATTCTGGGAAAACCACCACTCGACCCGTAGAGCTGTACACCCCGCAAGTGTCAGAAACATTCCCATGTCTTCGGCAGTGCATCGAATCTTCATAGAGCAGTTGTTGCGGGCAGTGAGGGTTTCGGCTTCAGCAAGCTCGTGGATCGTGTCACGGGGATCCTTCCGGGAACGGTGCACTGAGGCTTGATGTTCCGGGTGATATTGGGGAATCCCAAGGGCAAAGAAGCCAAGACCGTACAAACAGTACAAACCCGTGGTCTCGAACTCTTTGGCTTGGTGATCGCCTTGCGTCCCCCTCCTCCCTATATAAACAAACCACCCGGGATTCGATCCTGCTGCTTCCCCCAACCCTAAACCCCCGCTTGCTTCGCTTGCGAGGCCTCTGCAGTGAAGAAAGCGCAGAACATGTTTTCGACGACGATGCTGTAAGGCTCGAGAGGAAGCCTGTGCTACTACATATGATACAAGTCTGACACTCCTGCGTTTAGGTCGGGGCCCTTAATCCTGAACCCTTGTTCTGTTGCGGCTGCGCAGCTTCGGAACCTTCCGTTGCTAGAAGCCTGTTGCAGCATTCAGAGTGTTTGTCAGTGTGTGGGAGATGGCGGCAAGACCAAGACCCACTACGGCCCGAAGCTGACCAGCGATGGCCACGACATCTGCCGACAGCTAAGCGAATCCAAACAACTACCGACCTGCCCTCTGCGCGTAACTTCTGAAACTGCCCTTCCTCTTGCAGTGTAGATTGAAAGCTCATCCAACCGGAGTGCTTGCAGCCGCAACTTTGGGGTTCCAGCTGTCCTCAGCTCTATTCCCCAAGCGGTTTTGTTATGTCCTTGTCTTGACAAGACAGGCTGAGTTGTTGCCGTATTCCAAAGAAAAGTGCGACGCCAAAATCTCGTCAACATAACTTCCATGCCAAACCCGCTGCCTAAGCAGCAAGATGCTTTGCACGTGAATGCTTCTATCAAACAAGTGAGGGACTTAAATACTCAGACTTCACCTGAGCCTCCTAAGGTCCTAGAGAACAAACCACGAAACACGAAAACCGACAACAACCCTCAGACCTCGAATACGCACTCGGGCCTCCCGTCTGCCTCGTTTCGGAGATTGGAGTGGTTCCACTGCACATCGATGAAAATCCTCGCGGATGGCTTCGGTTCGCTAGCACCGCGCCAGGTGCCAAGAACTCTAACTGTTGGTTGCTCTTCGTATTCGTTCATCATGCCTTATGAACACTACTGTTGCTACTACTAGTCTTATTGCCATCGTTGCCTCAGGTTGCCATTCACCAAAGGCATGGCTTCCGGATTTACGAGCCAGGCAGACGGCCTCTAACCGATTGACTTTGGCCCGAGGCCAACAAGATTGAAGAGCTTGTGCCAGCAAGGAACGCTATCTAGTATCCCAGCCCCTGTTATGCAAACACATCGCAATCTGAGATGCAGCCAGTTGGGATATCATGTTGTATGATGACCGCAGGGATTCAGCACTTGCAAGTGCGTATCGGCCGCGTATAGGCACGTCGAGCGCTGGGCTCATGGCAAGTTCATGCAGTTTAAGCATGATTAGGATTATAGCTGTTGTTATTCGTACTAGTATTGTCGTTGGTGCAATACTGTGATTGCTGCAACTAACAAACTTCAATACCCTGCCCAAGTATTGTAGCATTCGCATGGTTCTCACACAGGACCCTGTGCCAAGAACCCGTGTGTCGGTCCACAGGGCATTCACGACGATCACCATCAATGTGGTGTGCTGGAAACGCTCGTTCTTCCTGGGCAGTGCACCCAATGCTTACTTAGTTACTTAGCTTACTTCTGCCTTGTACCGCATTGTCCGCGCTCCGCCCCAACCCTTAGCCCATGTGTCTCCAAAAATGTAGACGGACCAACGCAACGCAAGCACCCCCAGCGCTTGCAACACACACCCGAAGCGAAGCTGAAGTCTCTGATTCCCAATCCTTCAGGCTACAGCTACATTTCCTCTCGCCCAGCGGCGCAAGCCTCCCTGACCAGCTGTCCCGAAAGCTAAAATCCTGGCAAAGGGATGCGTCGAGTGGGTGCGAGGCACATGGCTTCGAACCCTGGGAGGTGAAAACGCACCACGAACAACAAAGGACATGTGCTGCAGTGTGGGCCGTGGTTCAAGACACGAGAGCTCCCCAAGACATCCGATGCCGTTCAGCTGACTTGGTCATCACATGATGATCGGGGCTCCGTATCGGGTGTTTGCTCATCTTCTACATGCAAATGTCCGCTCTAGACTAAACTACATATTGCTACGTTTTCTGGCCAGTTTTCGACGACTACTCATCTAGAGACGAGGCTCTAGGACAAGTGGGCAACCCCAGTGCAAACCATGCTGATACGACTCGTGATGCTGCTGTCCACTGCTACTGCTACTGCTACTGC